GTATGCTAAAATGTGTGTGTGTGTGTGTGTGTGTGTGTGTGTGTGTGTGTGTGTGTGTGTGTGTGTGTGTGTGTGTGTGTGTGTGTGTGTGTGTGTCTCTAGATGGGGAAGTGACAGTGGGCAGTATTGATCAAATCCAGTATGTTTAACTGTTTATGTTCCAACTTATTAGATGTAAGGTGTGGTAGGGATCTTAATTGACGGGGGGGGTATATCTAGGGGGTGGGGGGGGGGCGGACAGGTAAAACTCATTGGGGGGAAAAAAGAAGTTCACCAAACCCTCATCGGGTGTCTGTATCACGGTTTTAAGTTGTCTCGGGCCTAGAAATGCCCTCACCACAGTGTGACATCATACAATGGTACAGTAGCTGAAAGGTTCTGTACATTCTGTACAGGGAGAATCATCTAAATATGCATTACCTCTTATTATTAAAAAAAAAGGAATATGAAAAGCGTGTGTGCGTGTGACTTTATTATAACATGTTCTCCATGTTACCTTCCAGGCTGTGCACATGTCAAGAAGCAGCAATGGAAGACGAAATGGTTTCACCTTCACCTCTAACACTCACAACTAATTTAAAAAAAAGGTCCAAAACCAGTGAAACGGTAATATCAGTACAATAAAACAGCTCGTTTGTAGAAATTCTTATAAGAATAATAAATAACTACATGGGGTTCAACCAAGAGTAGTAGACAATGAGATAAAAGCAGTGATGGAGAAACTGTAATGTAATAAATGTGCTTGCACAGCTCTCTCTCTCTCTCTCTCTGTAATATCAACTGAAATGAATTGCACATCTTTTCCAAACAGAGCAATTTCTCCGCCATCTGTTCACCAACGTAAATCAGGGCTTGCTGATGTAAACCTCCTCCTTCCTCAAACTCCCCCCCAGTGAGGACTGATTCAGGCCTAATCCCCCAGTCTCCCCTGCCCTCTAAATCATGCCCGCATACTAATAGCTCTATGCAGATAGAATGGGTCTACATGCAAAAGGCAAAACAAATGCAAATATTGGTCTCGTCGGTGCGGCTTTTCTTTTAATCAACTTGATTAAGTTGATAAATTAAAAGGGAATTTAGATATCCTGATCCAAGTAAACAAATCAGTTATCATTATTTCCCTATTTTCCCCATTATAATAAATTAGCACAATCCTAAAATATAGTGTTTGAAAACTACTGTTCTAATGTGTTCAAAACAACATTTTACTAATAGACCCTTGATCTCCAGTAGTTATTGACTGGTAAAATATTCTGTTGTGGCCAATTGAGAGAGGATCTGTTGATGTGACGGATTCAAATTTCCCTCCTCACGCATGCAGATGTTTCCACAGATAATCGATAATCCAGCCTAACCCCCTTATGCCAAGGATTAAACATAGCCAGCCACAATCCAGCCACGTGCAGGGGACAAAAAAAGAGACAAGATGAACAAAAAGGGGGAATATCTGCAAGAAAGTGAATTGTTTTGAGAGTCATTTAATACTTTACTAGTTAAAGGCAAAACCTTGAGGCAAAAAAAGAAACAAATTGTGTATTTTATATTTAAGCGTTTTTTCCCAAAGTGTCCTCAAAGCACATGAACACGTGAACTCCTGTTTTATAAAAATGAATTTGACACATTTCGCTAAGCTGTTTAAAGTTGTGGAGCTTTGTGGAAAAACAACTAGCAAACTTTGAGCTACAATGGTTCAAAGTAACATCTGGCCAGATGAACATTGGGATCTCTGGAGCAACAGGAGCAGGTTTTAATGAAAACAGATGGCTTGACCGGATTATGAAACACACACACACACACACACACACACACACACACACACACACACAGAGCTGCATCCACTTCGCAGACTCGAGAGGATAAAACCACATGAACAAAAAATACTGAGGAAGATTGAAAGTGTTTGAACAGGCTTGAGGTGATTTCCTTAATAATTCAACTTTATACAGCAAATAAACTCAGAATTGACTGTCCGACCCGAACCGACTGCACCATGATTTATTTTAATTAGTTTAATTGGGTACTTAATTCGCTCTCCGAGTCTTGGCATCGTCTGCACGCCCGACTGGCTAAATTAATGTGTTAGACCTTTTTCTCATCTTTGTTTCCTTTACTTCTTACCAAGTGCTGAAGTTGATTCCTCTTCACAGAACCTGCACAGTAACACATGTCACATCTCTTGGAGTCTTGATATTAAAATAGAACTAACAAAGAAGCACATACGACAGCGGAGACACACACGTGTGCTTTGCTGTGGCTAAAGTTTGTCCCGACAGGCTCGATGGATCTCAGCATAGAAGATCCATCGCTTCATAACGCAGCAAAGCACCAACGCGCCTTGGAAGAAACTTTCACTAATTAAAGCCTCCCTCATCTTATTAGCCCGACTAATTGATTCAATTTGTCTTCGCTCAACTATTGGCTTTGACCTCTCCTTAGTTAATGAATTAATTGATTTAGCCCAAGTGTACTTGGAGGAGTCAAAGAGGATTTTGACATGTTGCCCCTTTAATCTTGCTTACTCCAGACGCTTTCGGGGGTCACGGCGGCAAGTCATTGGCAAAGGTTTCGGGGGAGCGGACGGCCATTGCCGAAGGGCCTTCTGCGGTTTGTCGGCTTGTGAAGAAGTGGCCTTCGCGATGACATTTTAAAAAGGCACCGTTCCTCAGCTGCTTTTAAACTTGGAGAGACTCTTATACCAGCGCAGGATCTGCTTTCCACAATCCAACCTCCGCCTTCAGGGAGGTTAGGCAATACGCCAAAGGTCTTCCTGTTTCGGAGAGAAATATGAGTCAATAATATTGCCGTAAAGTATGATTACTACCAGGATACATCCTTCACAAGGGCACTCGGATGCCTAAATCGCCAGCGTCCGCTTTATCGACATCGTTTTTCTTCATAATGGCATGAGACAGAGGAGCTTCCTCAGAGTGGATGAAGTTATTAACCGGATATGGGGGAAAGAAAAAAAAAAACTAAACTTGACACCCTGTAGAAGCATTTGCGGCTTTAGCATGTGTCCATTTATCAAAGAAGGCAGAGCTGGATTTTGTTCCAAAAAAAAAGCCTCTATGAGAAGGAAGAGATATTGTTCGGTGCAATGCACTTAAATGTGCTGCTCCTGTAGGAGAAGGGATTGGAAAGCAGTGAAACCTGAACAAACAGCTCCCTCCAGTGGTAAAACAATGCAGACGTCTTCTCCAGTGTTCCCCTTTTTTCCCCATAAATGAATAAAAATCCCCATTAGCACAACATAAAAAAGGACAAATAACTTCTTCCTTCAGACGACATGTTTGGTAAACTTCTCCTACTGTACGTCAGTGTTATGTCAAATCTCTGATTGTGAAACACTAATTTAGAACTTGGCATCGCAACAGAATTCAAACGTCGCTTTGTTTTGTGTGATCAGTGGGCCTTGCAAATGGGCCAACTCGTGTAATTTAGGCGCATTAAAAAGAAAAAGCGGATCTGTTCTGGACAGTTGTATATGCGGTCAGTTTTTGACAGATTCGCTTGAACTCGCATCAAGCAAATGCAAACATGTCAACAGCAACTTATCTGTCTGCGTATCTGCGGCCGCAGAATTTTCTGTTGTTTGAGATTTGTTCTTTCTATTGAGAATCCTTATGCACATTTCTTGCTTCGCCAGCGTAAATGTAAACTTGCATGGGGATCATTCTGAAGCTTTGCGCTTTATCAACCGGTCTCCTTTTCTACTGGGGCCAACACTATTTATCATTGAGAAGGGAAAATTCTTCACTCCCTGACGAGCGAGGATAACCCTCAAGGTATCTTTTTTATCAAAAAAGGAACCACCATTAATCTTCTAACCATAAAATAGGGCAAAGCATTACGAGAAGTCTTTTCTAGGGAGTTAAGGGGAAGAGACCTGCACGTCTCCAAAAAATCCAATTCAGAGCAAAGTTTAAAAAGAATCTGTATCTGAGAAATCAAGTTTTCCGTTTCCAATGTAGTGAGTTCAAAATAACTATTAAAAAAGGTTTAACCATACTGACATTTGGTTGACATTTAATGTTCACGGTTTCTGTAACAAATTATCTGATGTAACTGTCTATTGATAATACAAAAAAAAGGAGTTTGTCTTTTTTCAGAAGCAAGATTGTATTGCCTCGTGTTTATGGTTGTTTGTCACAGTGATGGAATTGATAGGCCAAACAGCTCACAAATAAGTGAAAGAGTACCGCGAGCAGCTCGTCCAATGGATTCAACATATGACCCCGCGCTTTAAAAAGATCTTTATCAGAAAGACTGCATTGAGAATACATATTTGAAGAACAAGCCATTTGCGCAGATGGATCATGCAACCAACCACAGGATGACTGGTGTTTTTTTTAAGATGCAGCTAGTTTTTCACTCTTTTTTTTTTTAAAAGGCTGTATTATGATTTATCAACACCTGCTGCCGTCTGGCTTCCTGAAAGATAGCTGCTATGCAATCATTCAGCCAACCCATAAATCTGCACAATGAAGGTTACTTGATATACAGCGAGAGAGGGAGAGAGAGAGGGAGGCAGAGAGGCTTTGCCCACTTGCTTATTGATACAACCTTGTGGGAGATTTACAGACACATGACTGCGGATGCACACATGACCTTGCCAGTTCAATTCTTTTTTGGAAATGAAAGAGGAAAAGTTACCCAGCCTTCTTACTTTTAGATAAGTGATGACGGTAATAATGAACATCAAAAACACATATATATATATATGTCATCTTTTTGTGTTGTGTAATTTTACTCAATGCTGTTTATCTCTGTTACTGCAAGGATTCTAGAAATTTACCGCTTCCCTTTTTTGCAGGGAAGTAGTAAAAATGACATGCTACACCGGTGCAGATTTGAATCTAAAAGCAAACTGAAAGGCAAAACTACACAAGCTACAACTCCGGCTGGACGTTTTGCTCTACGTCTTTTCGCTGCGCGGACCGAAATCCAGACCGCGCATGCGCGCTCGGGAGCACTTCCCCTTTAAGTCGGCCCGCTGACGTCACAGCAGGATGACTCGTAAATTTTGCGACACGACGTAAAGCCACCGGCTCGCCCGTCTTTGCCTCATCTTCCGCTGCTTTTAAAACAATGCGTCCCGGAAAAATGAAAGCAAACAAGCCCCGCGTGTCCATCCCCATCACGTGTGTAATGTGAAACGATGCTGCGGTCGGCTGGGACTCAAACTCCGGCGGTTTTTGGTGAGGAGGAAGACGTCGTAGTGTTGCGTGTAAGATGACGACCGGATATACTGCGTTAGCTATGATTTAAGAGCCCAATGCTTAGACCCACTCATATTGTTAAAATATATCTTGACCCAATGCCTTTTCTTTCATCGGGTTTGCAGCGATGTACACAAGTATTTTGAAATATATATTTAAAAAAAACAACAATGTAATTTCTGCATTCAAAGGAGCGAACCTTTGCTGAGGGGACATTGAAGCGGACTCTGGGCACCTCCCTCCCGGGCCCCTGCCAGAGCCCCTCTTGGCCCCCGCAACCAAATGAAGCCACCCCCCTCCCAGCAGGCCGCGCCCGCAGAGGACCCCGCCCGTCGCCGGGACCCCCGCGCAGTGGCCCACCCATGCCTCTGATCCCCATCCCGCGGCGGGTGCGCAGCTTCCACGGCCCCCACACCACCTGCATGCACTCGGCCTGCGGGTCGACGCACGCCTCCAAGCTGGTGCGCACCAAGTACAACAACTTTGACCTCTACCTGCGCTCCCGCTGCATGTACAGCTTCCTGCGGTTCCTCCTCTACTTCGGCTGCAGCCTGCTGACCTCCCTGCTCTGGGTGGCGCTCTCGGCCCTCTTCTTCCTGCAGTACGTCAGCGTGCGCGTGCTCCTGCGGCTGCAGTACAAGCTGTCGGTCATCCTGCTCTTGTTGGGGCACCGGCGCCTGGACTTTGGTGTGCTGAACGACCTGATCATCTACAGCATGCAGATCACCATGTTTCTGGTGGGGGGCCTCGGCTGGTGCTTCATGGTGTTCGTGGACATGTAGCTCCGCGCCTTTGACAAACGTGGGACACGTCCTCCTGGGTCTGCCGCGGTTTCGTTGGTGGAATGGGAAGGTCCACCTTAAGCATGTCGTGTTGACCTCCGAGTCTTTCTGGTTCAGAGACAAATTCATTAAGTGTCTCTAACAACTGTGTGTACAGTCCTTTGAAATGGTTGGTCTTGCGTAACGCGAAGAGAAGCACCTGATGCTCGATGTCAGTCGTGAGTCATCCGGCCGGACCCTCGAGTCGGAACGGGGTCAGAATCTTCTCCTTTTTGACCCTCTCATCACAAATTTTGAAATATTAATGTAAAATGTCAATGTTGCATGGCAGAGGTACTGAACATATGAACGATGGGCCCCACAGCATATTATTTGTTCAAAAATGACATGTTCTGGTTGAGATAATTCCGGTTATTTCATGTAGGGATCCATGTACCACAGAGTCTCTGAAACACGTGGTGATAAAGTGACCGAACAAAGTTGTCAAACGTGTGTGTAATGTGGTTTTGTGGGGACAGAATCTAAAAATAAGTGACTACACGTCAACTTTTTTTTTTTTTTTTGTAAAGTTATTAAATGTAGTTCCTGTCAACGAGGATTTGGGACTTTCCAAATGGCGCGCGCGGGGGAATGTGTTTGGTGTTGTTTTGGCGACCAAGCCCGAGCTTGAGCGCCCCAAGCCTTGTCCAAAGAGGCTGTGACATTTAAATTCAAGCTTTTTGGGGGCAAAGGTCCCAATGGTACCCGCCCCTTCAGGGTTGTTCTGACAAATTTTTCTGTTTACCTTCCTCCACCACCCAAACCCCAACCCCGCCTCTAACCCCCCCCCCCCCCCCCCACTCGCTGCCAAGCATAACAATGGCAGTGGCTGTGTCCTCATCACCTTATATAGCCTCATGTTCACATGCCATTGAGTATGCATACAGGAATCTAAGGACTCAACGCAATGGTGCTGTTCGTGGTGTCCTGTAGAAATAACACCTTTTTTTTATTTTTTATGTTCCATCCGCTAAAACCGAGCTAAACTATCTTTAGACGGGGGGGGGGGGGCTGGTGGCCCGACCGCGACGGCGACCTGATTGAAATTAGATCGTCAGGCTGAAACAATAAGCTTTTGTTTCTGAGGATCAGCGCATAATATGCTCTGAGCCGGGCAGTTCCGACGGCCCAGTTACAACAGAGGAGCACCAGAGAACATGAGTTGTCTTGTGATATCATACGTGGTGCAGGAAGTAAAGGGATCAAGTTGCGGCCTGCTCGTTTTTTTATTCTTTTTTTTTTTTTCTGAAAAGCTGACCGTGATTGCTTGTGCCTGAGTGACGGGTCGGTTTCGGTTTTCTCTTTTGTTTTTTCGGATCATCGGTTGATGCTGAAGCCTCTTCTGTGTTAGATGATCTTTTAAGTTGGTTGAAGCATTTCAAACCGTGTCAACCGTTGTCACCCCCAGTTAATCTACCCGCGCTGCTACCAGGCCGCGGTTAATAGTGAGAGCGAACGAAAGCCGCTGGCGTTTTGTTGTGCCGCAGCTATGGTTTTACAAGTTAAAGCTGGATGATGACACATGTATTACTCTTCTTTTTTTTAAATTTAATTTCCTCATAACGACCTACACGTAACAAAATAATCATGACATCCCTACCAAGTACAGACACATGATAGTCCATGTGTATATTACAATGCAACCGTACACCAACGGGTACAATAAGTGCAGTGTGAATTCCATCAGCACAATGTCAATACATGAAGGAATATCACAGAACTCCTCATCATTGCACAGATGGGTTGTACTTCATTTTCAATTCCAGGTAGTATAATAGATTGCTGTAGTAAACCCGCTCACTTAAAACAGTGGTTTGTAAACTGGAGGTTGCAAGCAACCGAAAAAAAAGGACCAGACTCAAAATACCGGGGATTACACGTTTGCATGTTAGTTATAAAATAAAAAAAAGTCTAAAATGCGATAATGAACATAATGAAATATTTGCATCACTAATGGAATTTAATTCACATTTACATTTTCCACCACTGGCAGCAGGCATGAGTCAGTGTAAAGCACGGCGATGTAATGCGGACGGGCGGCAGGAAAGGCAAATCATTAGGCTGGAGAACACAAAATACATTACAGTGTACGCTCACATAAACATCCCAAACACCCACAATCCTATGCGGAGACCCGTGGAGATCATACAAGGTGTCGAGGCCGCCCGTTGTGCCACAGCAGACCCCGTTAGCAGTAGCTCACCTAGTGAGCTTTGGCACCGCGGTATCACATGCGTGCAGTAAAGAAAAGTTGACTCGAGGTCACCCCCCCCCCACACACACACACACACACACACACACACTCCCCTCCACCCCCGCCATTTGGCGCTTATAATTTAGCAGCGCACATGCGCATCACGCAGCCTCGAGCTGTCATCGCATTGAAGGACACGTGAGGCATCCACGCATGCATTTCATTCTATAGGCAGCCCTTTCTTTCTCCCAGCCTCTAATGAGCCGCCGCCCCCCCCCCCCAACTAACTGAACCACTACACCCCCGCGTTGTTTACGGGGAAACTGGCCCGTGACTGGACACACACACACACACACACACACACACACACACACACACACACGACACTCCGCAGACGGCCGTCTGCACCTTTAAGGCCCGCAGGGTGCACCGGGTCTGCGTGTCCCGCAAAGGCGCGCGACGTGACGGTGCAGCGCTGCTCGGCGGTCCCGTTGTTTGCCGCGTGGACTACAGGAGGACAAGTGTACAGTGACCCGGCAGGTCCTCCTCTTCCTCCTGCATATATATTTTATTTTATTTATTTAAAAAAAAGGGGGGCAAACGTCTGCGTCTTTAAAAAAAATAACTGTTTAGCGGGTGGCGCATGATGTCGGGCTGCGTGCACCGTCCATGTGAGCGGCGTTCACTTCCTGCAAAGGAATAGGAGCGGACAGAGAGAAAGAGAGAGTGGGACAGAGAGATGGGGGGAGGCGGGGGGGAGGGTGTGGGTTGGAGAGGAGGAGGAGGGGGGCGAGCAGCCAAGATAGGACTGGAGTGATATAGAGTGAGCCAGCGGACGAGGGGAGAAACCGGGCCCTGTTGTTTTGGTGTGTTTGTGAGTGTGTGTGTGTGTGTGTGTGGGGTTTTTTTTTTTTTCGACACGCCGCAAACTTTATACGTTTATCTGAAGAGGGAGAGCGAGAGAAGAGAGAGAGAGAGAGAGAGAATAGAGAGAGAGACCGTCACGTCTGCGCCAGCCAGCAGCCGCAGTTTATGGAATAGCGACATTTCTCTGGTAAATATCCGCCTTTCTGCCTCGGCTTCATGGTTACAATGTCTCATTTGTGTGACGCATAGGTGTGTGTGTGTGTGTTTTTGTCACCATGCATTATTGCGCCGCCGCTCCTTCTTTAGGTACAGTAGACAGCTGCACACCCCGACACACACTGCTGACATTACAGCATGGAGGGGTGGTGGGACGGGGGGGGGGGGCACGGACGGACCGACCCGGGGGGGTCTTTTCAGATAAACTAAGTACGACTCTTAAACTTTCACCAAGTGTTATCGCGAAACGGGGAAGGGGGTTTCTTCACGCCGGGGGGGGTTGTTCCCTCCCGCCGCTACAGTCGTTTTATCTGATTTGAAGCATTCCGTTCGCCGTCCTTCGCCGTCCGCTTAATGGCTGTAGTCTGGTTGTGACGCTCGGCGGTACTTTTAGTCGCAGCCTAAAGTGTAAGAAAGTGGAAACATATTATCGGCCAGGATGAAGACATAACAAAAAAAAAAAAAAAAAAGAGAGAGAGAACCCCCCCCCCCCCCCCGCCCATAAGGATCCATTGTGGTGGTGTATGTTGCGTCAAGGAATGGGGCTACTAATGGAACAATCGACGTTGCTGCTGCTGTCTGGCTCGTTGTTGCACAAGTGTAGTAAAGAGGAGCGTGGACGGAGATCCACTGCAGCTGGTCTAACGGTCTAAACCCTACGAGCCTTTTACAAGCATTCAGTCGTCATCACTGTGATTTCATCTTTTAAAATGTTGCCCAAGAACAAGAGGCAAAGTGATGCGCGCTGCAAAATGTTGTGGGCTGTGAGGATTGTAAACCAAAGTGGATTCGTAATGTTAGAGGCGTGATTTGTAATATTAAGAATGCAAAAACTCACTGTGGCCCCTGTTTACCTCACCTGAACTCTGCAGGAGTCATCTGAGCGAACATGGAACATGGACCCCCCCCCCTCCCCCTCTTCCCCTGCTTTCCCTCCCATGCAAATACATACATGGGTATGTGTGTGTGTGTGTGTGTGTGTGTGTGTGTGTGTCTAGCCTCCCATCTCCTGCATATACATGCATGGGTACAGTGTGTGTGTGTGTAGCGTCCCATCTCCTGCATATACATGCATGGGTACAGTGTGTGTGTGTGTGTGTGTGTGTGTGTGTGTGTGTGTGTGTGTGTGTGCCCGCGGCGTGTGGTGAGCCGGCGTGCACTTTCTTCATTTCGTGTGACATCCTTCCCTCTCACACACACCGTTTTACTGTGTCACCCTGCTCTCATTCGTATTCTCTGGTCCGCTGTCAAGCTGACGTTTCAAAGTTGGTTGCCGTCTACGTTTATGATCTCTGTCTGAGTGTGTAACTTGCAGGATGTGTAGCACCCTGGTCCTGGACAGGTGTCTCGCAGGTTGTACGTTAAAACGACAGCTCGGCTCTGTGGAGTCGTATAAATCAGCTGGCTCGCGAGGTTGCGTGTGGCGTTCCTCGCCGGGCTACAGTTTTGTTGCCCATCTGTTTGTGCTTCTCCCCTGTGGAAACATCACGCGGGAGATCGAGGTGTATCACACTTCCCCTTTGAATAACTGAAGCATTATGGATCCATAGGTTTGCCTGCCAGACTTAAGGCAGCACAAAGAGGGCTTTTAAAACATAGTTTATAATATCCCGCTGCCCTATACAGGGAAATCAGATTGGGGTATCGTGAATTTGCCAAGTTTCTATCTTCGGTGTTTAACACAACATACGTGGAAAACAGTGGATTTCTTTGCCTCCATCCTTCTCTCGAAACGAAGGCTTTCCAACGCCACCCGTCCTTGATTTGGACGTCTGCAAGATGGTTGTGATGCTTCTCAGCAGCTGTATTTGTCCGAGTGTGCGTGTTCGAGTGTGTTGCTGTGAGTGTGTTAATGCATGTGCGTGCGTGCATGTGTATATGTGTGTGTGTGTGCTCGCTCTGGCTCTGTCCCGGGATGCCCTTCCTCCATAGGCCTCACAATATACAGCATTCCACAAGGGGGCCCAGGGCTGTGTGCAAGTAGGGGAGTGTCAAGGAGAGAGCGAGAGAGAGAGAGAAGACAACACAGTTTCAAATATAACTGATGCGAATACTTGCAGAGGAGGGCGAATAAAGAGAGAAGAGGACGGCGTCTGTGAGAGACTTGCGTCGTCTCTTGTTCCCGCCGAACCAACGAGAGTCGAGGTCGCCTGCACACATGAAAAACATTTTGCGCGGCTTATACAAGCTGTGGCATTCTTAATTCGCTGCAACACAAATATTTGAGGACAACAATAACACAGCGAGAACATTCAGAACCTGGAGTGTTTGTCCCTTGCTCTGCTTCGCCCGCCCCGTGAGTATCCCTGCGTGGTGCACTTTTATCTGCTGCACTATATGCGCGTGTACCCGTGTGGGGAGGGTGTTTATGTGTGTTTGATTTTCCTTTCCTGAGACAGTAATGAGTCATTGCTGATGGTATGCGATACAGGGCAGCAGTCATGCATCAGCTTCTCATAGATTCCTGGATCCACCGCGCAGCTCACAGATCCCGCTGCCGGTGTGTTCGGGCACGTTGGTTTGCTGGTACCGGGACCGGTAGCAGCAAAGTTTAGGTCAGCCGTGATGAAAGGTTTCTGCACTCCAGCCGTTTCTAAGGTGTCGTGCTGTTTATTTCCTCCAAGTGGCAGCAATTTAAATTTCCCATCGGATCTTTTTGGCCGGCGCGCAAACGTTTCGTCATGTACTATTTCACGAAGCACTCAAAGTAATGCATCAGTGAGATTGGAAAAGAAAAAAACAAAAACGCAATACGGCTTTGGTTCCCTTCTTAATCCCGGTGAGTAGTTCAGTAATAAAGAGTCCATTTATGGGAAATGACGATAAGCATTTCCACCGCCGCCCAAAGGCCCTCAACATGTCGGGTGGCGGCCCGGCTCATCTGACCAACCTGTAGCCAACAGCTCTAAAGAAAGTGCAAACTTTAGCGAGAATGCTAACGGAGCTAGCAGTGTTTACCCGAGGTGGAAGTGGAGGGGGCACGTGTCCCAACGTGCAGTAGACATTGACTAAGCATTTAGAGAAAATCGGATAACGACACAAAGATCCATATCATCCGCCATATTAATAGTCAATGTTAAATGCAGCTCCTTTTTAAAAGGGGGTATAAATAAAGTACAGATTAATAGCGCCAGTGACCTTGCCTTGTCCACATATATTCTCCAAAATGAAGTTGGCACTCACATTAAATCAGATTGACTGCTTTATAGATGAATCTGGCTGCACTGCTGGAAAAAAAAGTGATGAACATAGATAAACGAAATTACGCCCAAGTGACTAATGTTTTTATGTCGGCCTTCTAGCTGATGTAGCTTCCCTGTAGGCGACGTTTCTCACCCGAAATCAAAAGTAAAAAGACTTAATCGATAAAGGTTTGCATTTGTCCTACATGACACTATCAGTTTGCAAGCTAACTACATGTTAATGTTTAAGGTTTTCAAAGTGGATTGCCAAAGAGGTTTGGGCATTTTCCTAAAAGTAGTGTGGCAGGTTCTTGGAATTATTTACCTCCAACCTTCAGTCTTTTTCTCTTCAGATTTAAGGCTGAGATAAAAACGTAATGGTATTTCTATGCTTGCTGTTTATTTATGCATCCTTAAAATACATTCTTTAACCCCCCGCTCCCCCCAAAAGTTTATACTTTCACAAAGAAGTTTTTTTTGTTATTTACTCTTCGTCTGTTTACAGTCCATTTATGTACCAGCTCAAACACAGAAACGTGCAGAGAGAAAAAAAAAAGCGATGGAGGGAACAAATGTGCGAAAAGAGAGGATCAGCCATTTGGAACCTAAAAGTGTAACTGGTTTGGTTACTACTTGGCTGGCTACGTGCTTTTCAGGAAGCCTTCCAAGAATTCAGACAATGAACCGTAAACATGGCGTGTTCCTCAGAACAATTCCACATTACATCTCAGAGATCACGTGTCCCTCCTTTTCTCAGAATCCACTGCCCCCACACACTACATAGCTGACAACTACAGCAGCCAAATCTCATGTTGCATGTGTGCGTACTGTACTTACGCCCGACGAGAAGGAGCTCTCACAAACTGACTAATGTGCAGAGTCTCTCTCCCTCCCTCTCGCTCTGTCTCGGAGATTTCTGGTAAGTGACATGTTTGGCCGTTGGCATAATGCCTAGCAAGATCACATGGCATGAATGTCGTGCCTGTGATGTGTGAGTGCGTTCGCTCGTGTGTGTGCGCGCGCGCGCGTGTGTGTGTGTGTACATGTGTGCTTGAGTAGAAAAAAAGAAAAGAAAGGGAGCATGTGCACATTTGATTGTTCCAAGTATTTTCAGCATGAATAGGCGCACGTAGCCGTAGCGCAGAATTATGTGGTTGAGACGTATGAGGAGGACGTGTTTCTGACAGTCATTTCATTCCCAAACTGGATGGAACATTTGATTTAATACTTTAAAGTCAAATCTATTCTGTTATATGGCCTCATAGAGAGCTGATTCCGCTCGGTGTTGAGCATTAGGGGCGCTTCTGAGAAGCCAGTGTTACCTGGCAAGTGCTTTTTGATTCTTGGAACTTGTCGAACTCCTTTTGTGTACTTAGTTTGTGTACGAGGGCCCAAAGGCTTAAGGTCACTTCACTGCATTCACTTAAATATCTCTATAAAAAAGAATGCGTGAGCTTAAATCAGCTTTTTCTTTAACCTGCATATTCATATTCTACGGGTTTCAGCGACTTACCGTGAAAGTCAAACCTATAATTCGGGGGATGACGCATGCCGACATGCACAAACACACAAATTCACTAACGCATAAATAAAACCCACGGAATCATTCCGACACACACACACACACACACACACACTCACGCTAAAGTAGAGAGAGGGGGAGAGAGAGAGCACTGTGGATGGCAGTTATCCTCGCAGCCCACCTAAATTTTCGATGCTCTTTCGCTGTGTGCCGCACATAATTAAATTGCTGCGAACTTCAAGTCTCACTCGACTTGGACCAGCGGACGCGGCTCGCGAATTTGAAGCCTTTGGTAGTGAGCGAGCGGGTCTGACCTCTTGTCCGGCGGGGGACGACCTGTCCCCGTGTGTGCTCTCCGTGTCCTAGCGGCCCGGCGGAACGCTGGTAGGAGTCAGTGGAAAAAGACAGGAATCCCAGGCGGGGTAGTTTTAATTCCCCCCCCCCTCCAGCACGCTGTCCCACCTCTCTTCATTTCCACAGCTAACATGCCTGTACAATTACAACATTACTTACCTGATGTCTGCAGTTGGGTTCCCGGGCAGAAGGTGGGAAGCCACCGTGGCTTGAAATGTATCGTGTTTTTCTAAACACTAAAGAAGTTGTTCCGAAGGCCACAATTCAATTAATCGTCCCTTGATGGTACCGTAACTCATTGTGTTTGACCTGAAGGTCCCCGATGTTAGTGCTTTTTAGATTTAGGACTCAAAATAGGGAAAGCAGCCAGCGTAGGAAAGATTTAAAATAAATAAATCTGGCTAACCCCCAAAGCTCGCTATTTAATGAGCTGAAGCAAACAGAAAAGTGTATTTTCCAAATTGTGGAGCAAGTACTTTAGGATTTAAGAAAAGGTATTTTTTCATAGATCAATTTGTAGCTCCGTGAAAATCAGTTCAGGCCGTCAGTCCATCAGCAAATCAAAAGCACCTGACCGGATTCTCAGGTAAAACCACGACACTTTAGCACCAGCACCAGTCATACTCGTCTGTATGTGTGTATGTTTATTCCGTGAAACTACAATAAGCAATAACAAAACACTCACCCTTAATTGACTCACATCTATATGTACCTTCAACTGTCGTTTTATCATTGTTCCTGAACAAGATCCGTAGGTCAGTGTTACCCATGAGGTTAACCAGGCGGCATGTTATTTGATCACATGTATGCTTAGTCTATTCGGTCACAGTAATGGTCGTTTGGGTGGGTGGGTGGGTGGGTGGGAGGGGGGGGGCATGCCCTTAAAATAAGAGTGAATGTATCGCTGTGCACTTGAACAAACAAGGCCTTTATAATACGTTACAACACCAGACGCCATTATATGTTTTATTACGGCAAACATCATGAGAGCCTCCATTGATTTAGATTCACCTAACGTCGACAACCACATCCCCCTCCCCCCATCCCTTCTCTTTTTTCTCCTCCTTTTAACAGGCGAGATAATAGATTAAAGCATTTCTGTCCGCTCTAATTGAAAAAAAATGTACATGGCTCGGTTGACGTGGGCGCCGCGCCCCCTGCGTGTACACGTCTTTTGTGTGTGGGTGTGTGTTTGTGCACGCCCGTGTGCAGACCGTGATGCTGAAAGATGTGTCCTCGTTTTTTTTTTTTTCTGCACTGCACCGGGCTCCTCTGGCGGTCACGTCGAGGCTGCTCTGATGTCTGATGTCACGCATGTGTCCCTGCGAAACATTGAGCACAGTGGTGATCAAAATGGCATGTTCATCATCTCCATACCCTCCCCCCCCCCCTCTCTACCTCTGTGTCACTCTCTTCCTGTCGCTCACTCGTAGACTGACTGCGGTAAACGCACTGGGAACTTCAACACACAGTGTGTTGTTTGTTTTATTCATGCAGAGGGACGTCTCATAGGGGTTGGGGGGGTTGGGGGGTCTTTGCTGGGGAGTGATTAAACTTTCACACTTAAAGGGGCCACGATGATTTTCCGCTCACCTGGAGTTGTCCCCGTTTGATTGACACTTTCGCTGCGGCTGCTATTTGCCATTTTCTGTGTTCTTGGATGAACATCCACATGATGTGTCACATTTCTCCAACCCGTGAACGCCTAAAGACCTGATTATGGAAATTGCTTAAAAACCTCTAGACTGCCACTGGAGACAAATTTTTTTTTTACTCTGTGTAAATTAGAGAGGGAAGAACTTGCAAAGCCCCGTAGTCTCATGGATGGAGCGCAGGAAGTACAGGAATAGGAATTTGCTACCAGACCTTTTAACAATGTTAGCTATATTTTCTACCTTTTTCTGGAGGGCAAGTTGTTTATTCTTTCTAAAGCACCCCTCCAAAAAGACTCACATTTTGGCAGTTAGATTGGATTGAGGCTAAAAATACAAAATTTGAATTAGCTAAACACACCACATAATTTTTTCTCTTTTTTTTTTTTATTCGCCTCTGTTATCAGCTTGAAACTCCCCCAGCCAGAATTAAGCTCTTTGAGATTCAAACGCCGGGGAACTCCCCACCCGCCAGAACCTTTTGAAGTTCCTTGGATGAGTCGACAACAGCAAATCCAGCCCGCTTCGGCTTTCCAGATCGAATTTGCTCTGAATGAATAAGAATCTTTGTAGACAAGAATCACAATGCTGACATAAAGGAAACGATATAAATTCTTTCCACACTTGGAGACGGAGTGCGAAGTCAAAGAGCGGCAGGGAGAAGAACCTTATGGTAAATTTGAAACCTAAAAATAGAAAAATTAACCTGTCAAGTTTTATAGATACATTTTTATGAAAAATATTAGCAACAATGTAGAAAATGCACACATTCTGTACAAAATGTTTTCCACTTGGTCTCACTTTCACCTACAGAATGTGCGTGTGCAGGATCACCGCCGAAATGCTTTCATTTCATGCTGATTCCCCCCAATTTCCCTTTTTTGTTCAGCAGAAAAAGCTAATTATGTTTTGAAAAAAAAAAAAAAAGCACGCCGTTTCACCATCGATACACACTCGCAAAAACATGCCGACCTGCAAAATCTCAACCTAATTGTAGTCCCTGTGTGACAGTCAGGGACACTCAGCAGGCCGACTCATGGCCCTGGTCCCCAGATGAAGGTCACCTCGAGGAGGACACCAATGGGGTTTCAGGGCCCTGTGCTTCCTAAACTAAAGTGCGAGCGGCTTCACAAATCTGCTGTGTTTTAGCATACTGGGGTATCAGATGTCTTTGCGGCCAGGGGCGCTAGCGCAGCATTGACACCACTGCTTTGCAATTGTACCTGCAAGAATAAATTATCAAGGAGCTTAAAAGGGAAGGCGTCAACTACGGCTTCGTCCTAATCCTGTGCACTGCGCCGCCGCGGCACAGTCACAGAAACGAGGAAGCACATTGGAGATGAACCGAAGGCTTCTGAACCGACGTCATCGTCGAGTCAGGAGTTCAACACGCCTACGGTGACGCCAAGGGAAAAGGCTGTACGTTGCAATTTAATTAACAGCTATCTGTTCAAATCCGCTCTGTACCGTGAAAAGGTTTCAGCGTTCTGAGGCGTTCAGACTTTTCCCACAATTAGGTACCATTACCTGAAACTAGCCTTACAATAAAAAACCTACCGTCGAGAAGGCAGGGTGAGAAAATCTGCCTAACCTTCCCTTTTTAACAACAATTAAGTCCCTTTAAACTATAATTAAATATGCCATGCATACCAAACTTTAGACCGCTATCGGTATATTTTCAGTAATGTCGCCACTAAATCTGCAAGTCTGAGCGCGTCGAATCGGATACTTCGCTGCCAGAAGTTCAGTGTACGCCAGCATGAAATTACCCCCCTCAGGCTCATTGCAAATGTACAGTTGTGTGTTACGCTTTGGACAGCCACCAGTCACATGGCGGCTAGGAGCCGAAGCCAATTTAAAGGATTTAGTATGAAACTGGTCCAAAAAAAAAAAATATATATATATATATATATATATATATATCCCAAGGCATATTACAGTGTACTTTAACATTGTGTACAGACACAAATGCTGCTGCTGAACATCCACACATTTCTTTCGGGCACCCCCTGAATCAGACACTCTCTTCCCTGATTTTCTTAGCTAGCTTCCTTTTTCAAGTTGGAAATCGGGGGAATTTTTGGTCTTGTGTCAGCGTCGGTTCAAAATATCTCCGTCTTGCGTGAGCCCTGACCCTGAGCCCGAGTCTCTAACGTCACACTTGCATGTTGCTATAAACTGGAACGACCTGCTGGTCCTTTTGCAATATGAGCATTACTGAGAAACCCAACTGGCTTTTTAACACTCTCCTGCGTTGTTCTCAGGTTATCCTGTATTCTTGTATCTCATTCATGTATCTTTCCCGTTCCGCTCTCATAAAGCAGGATTTTGTTTCCCAGAAAGTGTCATTTTAGCAAGACTCGTTGGAACAGACATGTTGGCGTCAGTGAC